AGACATAGAGACAGAAAGCGAGAAATCACCCCCCAGGGGGGATGGTCACGCTGCAATCCCTTCTCCTCTATTCTCTCGGGATCTTGGGCACGCACATATACATGCCCGGCATTAATTTTAAGCCACCGGGTCCGGGACTTGAACTGCATCTGACTACATGGGAGTCCAACGACATAGCCATTATACTAACTGCTGGTCCCAGTAAATATAATTTTTATAGGGAAAGTAGAAGAAAGGGTAGAGCGGTCCATAGGAACAAAGGTATTCTTTTCTTTTTTTAAGAATTATATTTTAGGGGGAACCAGCAGTTAGCGTAATGGCTATGTCGCTGGACTCCCACGTAGTCGACCGCGACCCGGTGGCTTAAAACTCACGCCGGGCACGTGTGCGTGCGTGCCCAAGATCCCGGGAGGAGAATGGAGGAGAAGGGATTGCAGCGTGACCATCGCCCCTGGGGGGTGATTTCTCGCTTTCTGTCTCTGTCTCTCTCTGTCTGTCTGGCGAGCGCACGCGCCCTATAGTGGAAAAAAAAAAAAAAAACCCTCTCAAAAAAAAAAAAAGAATTATATTTTAGGGACCAGTGATTGGCATAATGGCTATGTCGCTGGACTCCCATGTAGTTGACAGTAGTTCGAGTTCCAGACCCGGTGGCTTAAACTCTGGTCGGGCGCATGTACGTGTGTGCCCAAGATCCTGAGAGGAGAATGACAGAGAAGGGATTGCAGCATGGCCATCCCCCCAGGGGGATGATTTCTCACCTTTTGTCTCTCTGTCTCTGTCTTTTCTGGTGAGCGCACATGCTCTGTAGCAAAATCCTCTAAAAAAGAAAGAACAGAATTATTTTTTAAACTTTATTTATTTAAATTTGATGAGAGAGGGACAGAGTGTGTGTGTGTGTGTGTGTGTGTGTGTGACAGAGAGAGAGAGAAAGCAAGCCACCAGGTCTGGGATTGGACCCATGGTTGGCCATGTGGGAGGCCAGTGCCCTTAACTACCACACCACCTGCCGCCATGGAACAAAGGTATTCTGAGTGAGAAATGCACTTCTGGGGGCTGGCAGGTGGCATGGTGGTTAACAACGCTAGACTCCCACATGGCCGACCATGGTTCAAGTCCCAGAACTGTGACTTACTTTCCTCACTTTCTCTCTGTCTCCTCTTTGGTCAGATTAGAATAAAGTTAAATAAAATAATTCTTAAAAGAGAGAGAGAGAGAGAAAAGCACTTCTGTTGGGGCTGGCAGGTAGTGCAGTGATTAGAGGCGTTGGACTCCCACATGGCCTTCCACGTTTCGGGTCCCGGGCTTGGCGGCTTGCTTGCTTTCTCACTCTCTGTCCTATCGTCAAACTGAAATAAATACATAAATGCTAAGTAAAGTTATATAAAATAATTCTTCCCCCCAAAAAAAGAACAAGAAAAGCACGTCTGTGAAGGCCCAGAAGTGCAATGAAGTGCCAAGAAGGCTGAGATGTGGCCTGTCTGCCCAGAGTGTAGAGGGGCCCTTCACTACTGAGAGCAGCGCGGAGTAAGGACGAGGAGCTCCGTGTGATCTCTCAGTGGGTAAAGGTTCTTCAGCTGCGTCTTCGGATTTCTTAGAAACCTAAGCTTTCTTGAAATCGGAGGATGGCTGGCTCACTTTTATCAGTGATCTTTGGAGGCACAGATTTGAGTGAATCCATTATTAATCTGCAACCTGATGCCCAGCCTTGTTTCCTGGAAAGCTCGAGGTTGGTTCCATCGTGTGGCAGAGAAACCGAGATGAGGGCCGGACTGTGTTTCGGGCTTCCCTTGTGTGAGTGTGAACTTTGGTGAAAGCCCAGTTTCAGGAAACGGGAAGTGACTGATCAGGCGGGGAGTACTTCCCACTTGGTCAGTGTTCTCCCTTAATGTTCTTTTTTTTTTTTTCCTTTAATAATTATCTATTTTATTTATTATTTTTTAATTTGACCAGAGAGAGAAAAGGAAAATGAGAAAGAACGCCACCAGGTCCAGGACTTGAACTGCTGGTCCACCATGTGGGAGTCCAGCAGCTTAACCACCACGCTGCCTGCCAGCTCCCTTCCCTGTCCTTCATACAGTAGCTGCAGCCAAGCCTAGCTTCAGTGTGCAGTATTTTGGATCACACTGGAGATGACACACAGCTCCTGGAGTCTCAGAAAGTTTAAATAATTTGCCTGAGGCACACAATGTGAGGGTTTAACTGGACCTTTATGGCATCAAAGGTCTTGCCTTTCCCATAGTACTATGAAGCCATGTGACAGGTTTGAGACCTTATCTCCAGCCTGTTAGAGTAAATCCTGAATCTTCTTTAAAATTTTTTTTATTTGTTATCATTTATTTTTTAACTTGACCAG